CACCCTGTCTGACAATCTTTTCACCTCTAAAACATTCCTCACCAGCTCCTCCTTCAGGATCACTCCTACCCCATTTCTCTTCCTGTCCACACCATAATAAAACAGTTTGTATCCCCCTCCAATACTACACGCTTTGCTACCCTTCCACCTGGTCTCCTGCACACACAGTATATCTACCTTCCTTCTCTCCATCATGTCCGCCAGCTCTCTACCTTTCCCTGTCATTGTGCCAATGTTAAGAGTCCCTATTCTCAGCCATATACTCCTGCCTCTCCTCTTCTCTCTGTCTACGAATCCTTCTACCTCCTCTCCTTCTTTGACCAACAGTAGTCCAATTTCCGCCAGCACTCTGTAGGTCAGCAGCACTGGTGGTGGTCGCTGTTAACCCGGGCCTCAACCGATCGGGTATGGAATTCACACCGATGATTCGCATGTTTAAATTTGGCATGTTTTTATGCCGGATGCCATTCCTGACGCAACCCTCTCTATTTATCCGGGCTTGGGACCGGCACAGAAGTCTTTGGTTTGCAACCCCTGTGGCTAGATTCATCATTTTTAACAGTATAGTTTCTTATTTCTGTAATTCCATAATTGTCTTCCCATTGTGTTATCACAATAGTGATAAAAATACATTTTTATGTATTTTCAACTTCTATCAAAGATCCTCATGAAAAACCAAGGTAACTGATGACAACCAAAGCAGTGTTTCCCATACACTGATTTATTCGAGGCGGACTGCCACACTATCAACATTGACAGCCACACGACGATTTAAAATAGGTTAAATCTTCTTTCAGTGTAGTGCTGTGTGTAGCGCATGTTTCTTTCTCACACACATACAAATAAATGACAACCATGATGACAGACTGTGAATTTCTCCTCCTCTCCAGGTTTTTTTTGTTTAAAACAACACTGTCAAAGACTGAGAGCCAACTTTTCTAATAAGCCAGCTAGCATGGCCAGCTAGGCTAACATTATAATACAGCTGTTTACCTTACTATTGCTGAATAATTGCTCCCCTCGATACAGTGCAGAGTGGCACTGCCCAGCAATCAGCACAGGTGAATCAACAGCTCAGTGGCAAATCTATAAAATTTTTCCTAGGGTGGCAAGAGGTTTTGGTAGGGTAGTATAGGATTGTGATATCTGGGGTTTGTGCATATAATGTTATATGACCCAGATATAAAAGAGATAACTAAAAAATGTCTCTTCATCTCTCCCTGCTTCTGTCCCTCTTTCTCACTGTGTTTTATCCTAATCTATATCCTGCACCTTTCTTCTTCTTTTAGTTCCTCATCCCCGCAGATTTTTTCCTGTTCTGTCTCTTGGCCACTTTCTTCTCTTTTTCAATTTCTCTCCATATTCTACCCAGCCTCATAGTGTTTTTTCATTGAAGCTCTGAAATTCAATTGAATTTATTTGTATAGCTCCAATTCACAACACAGGGAGCTCTCAGGGAACTTTACATTATCAGGTCTAGACCTTAATCAATTATAAGGAAAACCGCAAAAATCGTGTTATATTTATTTATTTATTTAATTTTATTTTATATTTTTATTCTGTCCGAAGGACAGCGGGAGGGTTAAAGGAAGAAACCTCCAACAGACCTGGGTTCTTGTTGGGTGGCCTTCTGCCTCGACCCAGTTTGTGGTGAGTTATAAAAGATAAATTTGGCATTTACCATCACACCTTTCTACTCTCCCTCACTATCTTACTAGTATTATTTTAAAATTATTGAAAGTCACTCTCGGCTTTTCCTGTTTAGGAGTCGCCACAGCAAATTTTCACACTGTTGACATTTGGCACGTGTTTTACACCGGATGCCCTTCCTGACGCAACCCTGACTCGAACCCAGGCTTCAGCAGCGAGAGCAC